AGCTATATATAAATAGGGGAGGGGTGAGGACTGAAAAGCAAATTCGTCACACTGGAAATGTTCTCCCTCGCACTGCTGGTTTTCTTCCTAGCGAGTGTCATCGACGGACAAGGTACGTGCCGCTGATCTGATGCTGAAGCTGTATAAGCCATGTTATATGTTTAGATAATCTTTACGCATTGGACATTGCAGAAATTATTTTGTGACATTCATGTTTTTGTTCATTTACAAAACAAAATCTGCGGTTATGTGGTGAGGCGGCGGCGCCCACAAAATCGCGTCCGTCCCACGCGACCGAAAAGTGGAAAAGGGGCGTCGTCGTGAATGTGTTAATGGTGGGTTGCAGCGGCAATTTGGAATGAGATATGCCTATGCGATGTGCAGGTAGCCAGTGACTCTACCGAATGTGGTAACTGTTGCCTCCTACACTGCTCTCTAACGCTGGTGTCAGAGTCCACGATCCGTCGCGTAAACCACAAAAATCGCAAGTACCCCATTTGAAAACTTGACACACTGAATATGAAGCAACTAACCATCAACCATCAACATCAAGTGGAAATGATGGCAGGATTGCAGAGTACCTCGCAGTGCTGATCGAAGCCGTAGTGATTTCTATGCCGTCGAGCAACGGACCGCTGACTCTGACACCAGCCTAACTCATTCACCACCAGAGTTGACAGTCCGTTCGCACTATTCGGACGAGAGGGTCGCATTTGTGATTTTGGGAAGGAGGGTCGCATTTTAGGTTAAGCGAGGTCAACGGTCTTTGGAGAAGTGCGAACGAAGCTCGTTAGGAGGGGTTGCTATAGACGGGGTTTTTGGACGAGTTTGGATGCTGTTTGATGATAACAATTTATAACCCCCCACCTCCGTCGACGGCCGCTTTGAAGTGAAACGGTAGGCGGAGTTGGGCTGTGTCAAGGTCGGTCTGATACACTAGACACAACCACAATGGCAAGGGTAGCCGTCGGTGGAGGAATGAGGGGGTCGTATTAGAGAGATTCCTGAGTCTCATGATGGTGCTGGGGGGTCGCATCGAGACCCTCTAAGGAAGAGAGGTCGTTGGGAGGCGGTTGATATAGACGGGTTTTTGGTACGAGTTTAGGGTTGCTGTTTGGATGATAAAATTATAACCATGAGGGGGTCGTATTAGAGAGACTCCTGAGTCTCATGATGGTGCTGGGGGGTCGCATCGAGACCCTCTAAGGAAGAGAGGTCGCAAAGTCCCTGAGAAAGTACGAACGCGACGGTTAACCCTGTTCACCACGCGACTCTAAAGTGAACGCTACTGGACTGAATACAAAGAAAATTTATTGCAGAAGTATAGCCCAAGGAGGTGTCATGCACTCATCCTTTGTTGCTATGATGACCAAGGGCGAATGCGACCATCGCTTGGATTACGTCAAAAATCATCATGAATTTCTTTTTCAGAGCCACAAGACAAGACACCTCTGCCAGCGGACATGAAAGCAGTGTTCGAGAACCTCACCGCGCAGTACAAGAAAAACCTGGTCAGTTTTTACCTGGATTCATGCTAACAGGATGGACCTTCCAGGCACCATTTCACATTACTCATAAAAAATGATTCACAGACATGGAATGACGATTGGCGGGAAAAGCGCTTGAGGAATCAGAAGAGGCACTTAGCGTGAAAACCGACGTGAAGGTTAAAGCAACAAAGTTCGTATTGTCTCTGATCAAGAAATTTCAATTTTTCATTAGTTAACAAACGTTGCATATGGACAGGAGCTTCTGGAAGAAAGCTAAAACACTGGCCGAGAAGGTGTGGGATACCATGAGAGGACGCTTCGAGAAAAAAGAAAAGGAAGTAAGTAGAAATCATTATAAACCTTAATTAGCTATAACAATCACTCCTTTGCTGACGAGGAGCTGGGTCAACATGCGCCATATTGGTGAAAAGAATGGCAAGGACCGAGAAGGGGATCCGATGCATGTCTAGGCGTGTTCGCAAAAACGGAAGTCGTATTAGTTCAGCTCAGTTTTGCTAAGTAACAGTGGAGAGGTCGTGGGTGCTGGGGTCGGCATTGCTTGGAACAGTGGTAGCTTCTCGAATATGGGTGAGGACTAAGGATCGCACTGCGGAGAAACCCGGATAGGAATACCGTTCCCCTCTATGACGCGCTGTGAACAGTGCGATCACCAGCAGAGTTGTCACAAGTAGTATAAAGGATAAAGGATAAAGCATTTGCCGTTGATCAATCCCTTTTTGGGATGCGGCACGCATTCTACTTCCATTTGTACATTCGTAGTGGCGTTTGAATGCGATGTGGCCTATACAATGGCCAGCCGATGTACAAGTCAGTGTTTTTATCCTCCCAGACAAGTCTGGTACCAATTAACCGACCCCGGAGGGATGGAAGGCTTGGTTGGCCCGGGCGACTCACGACCCAGGATTTGATCCCCGGACCGCTCGCGTGGTAAGCGTGCCACTTGTCACTACACCACTTCCGCCCTATATGTCATACATGTTTATTTGGCGCAAATACATAAAACTGTACTGCAGCTTGAGGCCACGATTTGCTCTTGTTGTTGCATTTGGGACTGGGATCCAAACTAGCACACAACTTATTTGTGCATTAATAGTAATATATCACTCGCCACGTACAGACCTGCAGCGAGTGATGCGTGTGTGATATGAGCTATAGAATGAATATAAGAGTGACGATGATTTGTGGGCGTGCACTGGCCCACCGCGCCAAGATTGAGCCTCATCAGAGATAAAGATTGACTGCAACCAAATTTTTGATTTTTCTGCGAATTCGCGAACAGAGTTCTGTGGAGTGCCATGAGAATATCTTATCATGGAAGTGTCCAATGGAACCCACGGTTCCTGACCGCTTTGCACATCACACACAGTTCCGTCATTGAAAATTTGTAGAAAAGTCATTTCTCATTAGGCTTCTTGAGCACGGTACTTTCTAAGAGCACGATGAACTTCCTTACGTTATGCCATTCGCACTCCCCAAAAAAGTTAGGGCCGTTGAAGCCACGATTTTAATCTTCAGTTCTGTACCTAATGCTCCCCAAGGTCATCCACGCGTTGGCACAGCATTTACATCGGTTCATGTGCCGTGTATACGCACAAAGGGGTTGTGAACAGCAACTTCACTACTAGGAGGATGCGGGTGTGGGAGGAGGGAGAAGGTTACCTCATTTTTGAATTCCTGCGGCGCTCCGCTTAGCCATGGTCTAACAGGAATCGAATATGCATGGTATCAAATCTTATGC